TAAGTTTATATTATTTTCGAAAATGATGAGGGTGAGGTGAGAATGACTTACCATATCGTTTTGAATTTTGAAATTCAAAAATCATAGATAATTAGTGCCTTTATTATTTCTTTACTTGAATTGTTTTGATTAATATTACTTTTGAAAAGAGTGAGAGTGATTGAAGGTGACTTACCATATTATTTTAAATTTTAAAATTCAAAATAATAGATAATTAGATTTTTTTTTTTCTTCTTTTTTTTCGATTTTTTGACTTAAGGAACTAATCAATAGATTTTTTTTCTTTTAAAAATTAACAAATTAACAAAATTAATTTGAGGGTTTAGAGCTCTCACAATCAATGTTTTTAAAAACTCTATTTTCCTTAATATATAGATAATATAAGCAAAAGCTTTCCACCCTCTTTGAGCTTGAAACTCTCAACACAATTTTTTTTAAATTTTTTGAATTTATTTTACATAAATACACATGCAATTCAATCATTGGTTATTGTATTTCAAATGTAATTAATAACTAATTATTTGGTTCATATGGTAATAATCATCAAATCACTTTTGTTACCCAAAAAACAACTTAAGAAGGGGATGAATTAAGTTTCTACAAATTAAAACTAACAATTCCCCAATAAAAATTACCAACTAATACAACAGATATTGATTAACCAAAATAACAGTGAAGTACTACTGATGCAATAAGTATATCAAATGATAAACATAATCATAACAGATAAATATAACAGTAGTAGGAATTATAGCAAACACAGTGAATGAAAAGTAAAGAGATAAGGGAAGAGGATGTAAACAAAATGTATAGTGGTTCGTTTTCAACTAAGCCTACGTCCATTCCTCAAACTTCACTTGAGATTTTTCACTATTCTTCTAGTTTCACAGGGGTGCTAGCAACCTCATGTACATGGAGCAATCCTCCACAGATTTTCTAGCTTCACAGGGGTGCTAGTAACCTCATATACATAGAGCAATCCTCCTTAGATTTCTCTAACTTTACAGGCTTACTAGTGACCTTTTACAATATTGGAAATGAGTGTTTTTCCTTTCAAAGAAAGGTACAAAAATATCTCTCACAAATGGATACAAAACATGAAGCTCTTAGATTTTTCTATAAACCTCTCAAATGTGTGTATGCTTAAGGCTTAGGCTTAGTGTTTGTTTTTTGAAGGATGAATAAAACAAAGAATAGAAAATACTTCAGATAATTCAAAGGATGAGTTTGAGACTGATGATAGAATCACATAAATTTTCTTGGCTCAAGTCTATTTGATTTTTCTAATAACCTCTCACAAGTAAATAAGCTTAAGGCTGATAGCTCAGTGATTGATTTACTGAAGACAGATGATAAATTCAAATGAAGACTTCTTCAGATACTTAGAGAAGGTGGAATATGTGAGTGATAAAAGATAGCAAATTTTCTTAGTTCGTTGTTCACCTTACTGGTCTCTATATATACTTCATAGAGCTCTATATGTATAGTAGAGCTCAGTTTTCTGTTCTTTCTGACAAGCTTATCTTTTTCTTCCCATTGAGGAGATGGGATGGTGATGAGTTGAGATGACATATAATTCATTGCTCATAAGTTATCTGTAACCGATGTGAGATTTGCTCGTTGAATGATGGGTGTCTGATGCAAAAACATTTATTTTCTTCTCCTAACATCTGATAGTTGCAGAGATCATTTGCACAGTGAGATGTTCACCCTGGATGTCCAAAGCCAAGTTTTGTGTCTGTGGGACGTCCACCCGAATGTCCGATTGAGTTCAGTAGTCAAGGTTGTCGTTCGTAATCGTTGAGCATATTGTTTGTCTGACGTCCGGAGCGAAGCAGAACTGAACTGGAGTTGAAATTCCTCCATGGCACGTCTGCCCAGATGTCCCTAAATGCCCCTGGAGCAAAAGGAAGAATTCACCAAAAATTGCCTTGACCGGTCAACCGCCCGGTCATCCGACCCCTTGTGGGCTCAGCCTCTTGTGTTCTGCTGCTCTGGTGCATGGATTTGGTACCTGATTAAGCTTCATTTTGCCCTTCAAAAACATAGTTAAACATAAAAGAGAACATTGATTATAATGATTTAATTAAACAAGTTTTCAATCATAATATATTCCTCAAAACATAATCAAAACAATCATTAAAACCACGTTATTCATGCTATGACTAACAACTTTAATTTGGAATATAAATCAAATTTTGAATCTATCTATATACCATCTATACTATATATTGAGGAAAATAGAATTTCTAATGAGAAGAGCCTTGAGAAATTCAAAACCCTTATACTATTTTTCTAGAATTCTTATTTTTTAAATAATTAAAAAAAATTCTATTGGTTAACTTTTATTGAATCATTAAAGAAATCTTATTATTGCTTGATTTACACATTTCGAAAGGAAAGTTATTTAATCTATTTAAAAATTTAAATTTAAAATTTTGAATAGGAAAGTTAACTAATTAGTTTTAAAATTTAAATTTTTGTACCACTAAAATATATGAATCAATTCACATTTTCCATAATTTTTTTCTCTTGATGTTTAATTAAAAAATTTATTTCTATTAAAATTTTTAAGTACGATTAAAAAAATTTCTACTACTAAAATTTTTTCTCGTGAAGTTCAAAACCCTCATACTATTAAATTTTTTCCTCTTGATGTTTAATTACAATATTCATTTTTTATTGATTGATAAAAAGACCATAGACATTAAGATTATATTTTTTTTATGATATTAGGTTATTAAAATGTGATATATTATAGGTTTAAATCAAGAATTGTTGAAAAATTTTTTTTTGACTCGGCCTAGATTTTCTAGGCTCATTTTTAATATTTAATCTAATATTGGAACCCCAAACTAGCTCATACCAGTCACGACTGGATAAAAATAATTTTTAATGATTAGATGAAGGTTACATTGAAATAAATATTAAGTCGAGTAGTTTTTAGATCACTTCTAATGTTTAGTCCAATACTACAAGTCAATACTAATTCATTTTCATGTAAGAGTTAGAGTTATGAAATAAAATAATTTAAAATTTTAAATAGAAAAATTTTTAAATAAGAAAAAATTAGTATATTAACAAATGTAATTTACTACTATTATATGGTAAATTAAAATTACGAAACGTATAAAACGAAATGTATTTATATTTTATCATAAATATAATGTATTTAATTTATTCTTTAATTGTTACCAATTAAATTATGATAGTTTTTTATTAAGAATTTAGAATACACAATTAATGATATCTGAATAAAAATCTTTTCTGATATGTAAATCTGATAAAAATGAATAAAATTTAATTGATTATAAATTATTTTTACTACATATTTTTAATAAATTTTATATTATTATTTTAATTTAAAGCTATTTTTTAATTATTTATTTATACCCGTACATAGCATGAGTAATATGTTATTTTATATATATATATATATATATAGAGAGAGAGAGAGAGAGAGAGAGAGATTTGATTCGTAGATTTGTAATTGTGTGTGATCCCCTACATTTTATTTTGTTGCTTCACCTAGATGTTAGATTTGGGTGGTAACATAGATTTGTTGCTTCACCTGTCAATATGGTCCTTGAGGTAGTGACACATTTGTTGAGAGACTTTTGGGCACATTTGTCTATATTGACAATTGCAACCCTAAAAGTTCTTTTTATTGGAAATAAATAGATGAGATTGCTGAGAAAGTTGGGTATATTGAAATGATTAATAATGACTACAATGAACTTTTTCAGGTTGGGATGATAGTTTTTGTTAGCTGATATAGAGTAGTAGAGATGTAATGGACATGATCTGCACATCTTACTCCTAGTAGGGTGGTGAAAAAGTACCTTGAACTAGTAGCATAAGCCATGGGAAAAAAAGTCATTTTTCCAAAATAGTGACCAAAGTTGATCATGGGGTTGAATAGGGTTGGAGCAAGCAACAACAACAATGGGAATGAGGATGTTGGTGGAAGATTAGAGTTCAATCATAGGGTTGTAGATGATGTGGAGCTACTATCTGGTGTGACTCATCTGATGAAGAGAAGAAGAGTAGATATCCATTGTTAAGGCCACAAACTGATATGACAAATGTTCAGTTAATTGGGAATATTGTTGTTTGTTCACCTCAGAAAAACAGAATTCAAAGTGCAATAACAGAGTATGGCATACAACAAGATAAATACATCAATTTTATCAAAAATGAAACAAGAGTTAGGAAATATCCCCTGCTTCTTTTTTCATTTTTTTTTAATTATATTTATATATCCAAACAATTAGTAAATAAGCATTTTATTATATATATATTATACTCAAACTCAGTGTACATGTGTAGATATAGACAACCAGAAGGCACGCACCCTTCTTCAAAGAGAGAACACAAACTCTGGAGAGTGATATACACGACTATATAAAAGTAAAATCCAATGATAAATCAGTACATAAAATGAGTGAATCCTATTATTTGATTGTCAATCAACATAATTCAATAACTATTAAATTCATTACACTATGCCCACATGACAACTAATTATTGAGTAATGATACTACCAATATCAGAGAAGACCTAATATCACAGATAGATAGGTAAAGAAGACTCAACAAGGCCATCAGAAAACAAACAGCATACAAGACCCTATTACACATACTTTTTTTTTTCTCCAAATTTTATAATCTCAATGAGCTGATTAATATGTGTCCTAAGAGCACAATTTAACAAAGACTTGGGTTTATAACAGATAATAACAAGAAGGGCCAATGAGCCAACCAAAAAAAAATTGAAAAGACAGCAGTATACAAGAACAATTATAATCCCATTTATACAGAAAATGATCCCAAGAAAACACACTGGCATTGAAAATTAGAGAGTGGATCATGTAGTGCCATAGTGTTTTATTTGTTTATTTTTGGAACAATTTTCTATGCAATTTTACTTCTTGATAAGAAAAAGGCCCGTCACAATTCATTTTCCACATAGGTTGAGCTCCTAAAACTTATACAAGCATAGAATCAAAGCTAAAACAATATGGATAAAGGGTACAAGTGTTAAATTCAGTTAAAAATAAAATATATGAGAAGTGCATATAATATATGCTCTCATTGAAATATCATACAATATATGAAAAGTGTCTTGTTTTTTTTTTAATCTCATATTCTCCTACCAACTAAAAATTATATCCTAAAAAGTAAAGGGGGAGCCAACAATGATTCAATGCCATTCTTCTGGATAATATTGTTCATTCAAATTCATGTGTATGAATTTAGATTTATTTACTTTCTTGACGCAACTTGGACTTCATGTAGTCAAACAGCGACGTCCCACAGCTACAAGTTGGCAATTCTGAAGGCGGTTCGCGAATGCTTGTCTCTGGTGTCCCGCCATCTCTTACTATGAAAACAGCATCCATACCCCAACTCATATGCCGGTCGAAATGACAATGCATAAACCATACTCCTGCAGAGATGATTGCAAGAAGGAAGTATCTATTACTGGAAAAAGATGTAAAATGTAAGAATAAAGAGTGTATATAACGTAAGTCTAGAGCAGTATTTGGGCTTATCAAGACTTCATCATCCGACTCTACATAGCTCAGGTCATGTTTGGTAACGTTTTTGTTTTTTTTTTGAAAATTTTGAAAACTAGAAACAAAAACATGTCCGATAACCGTTTTCATCGTGAGAAAAATAGTAACAGTTTTAAAATGGGAAAAGTGAAAAAAAGAAAGGATTGTTAGCTCTACTCCAATAACCCACCAAACTTATTTTCTTTTATTACTAAAAACATGTGTAGCAAACATGTTAGTAAATGCAACCACAACTATGCGTTTTCAGTTATATATGCCAAGTTGATACAATCTTTTTGGGGTGATTTGGATTCTTTGTCCCAACCATAGTGTAAATAAATGCTTATATCTTTGATCTTTTGATCTCAGACTAGAACCAAATACAAATTTTAAATCCATCACGTGTCAGAAATTTCGAAGCTAAAGAAGCATACCTGGATTGTTAGCTCTGAATCTGATGACTGCCCAACCATCCTTAGGAACTGCAACAGTGTTTGCTTCAGGTGGATCTTTCAAGTTAAAAGTCAGTGGGTCAGTGACATTGTCAAAGTTGCCCTGACCCGTCGCAACAACGTAAAATCTAAACCCATGAAGATGGATCGGGTGGTTCTCTCCTGCGTCCAACACATTAGTCCCTTGGAACACCATCTCCACTGTTTCATTGTAATCCAGCATCCTCACCTTGGTCGCTTGCAGTGATAGTGTCACATTGTCTGATGTCAAATCCTCTGATGTGAAATTGTACCAGTATGCAGGCGTGATCGGGAAATTAGTATCGTAGTACCCACTCAAATTCCTACATGATCATCATTAGGTCATGAAGTAAATTTCTTCGTATTTGCACATAAATATATAGCCATTTTAGTTTTTGTGAACTTTGTACTTTCACTTCACTACATAAAATGCATTACTATGATAAGTTAATAAACATATGGATTAAAAAATGAACAAAATGTATTTTAAGTTAACTATACTAATGGTTTCTAAAGCATACTTGGGCAACCAAAATGCATACTTCGGTGACTAGATGTGTATTTGGTCCTTTTTATTTTGCTGATAATGTAAAATTCCAAAAAATATCCCTCTTTTGATTATGGATTTTGAACAACTAACGCTAGGGACTGAAGTGTAATAGATCGCATACTTTGAGGACCAATGTGGAAAAAGCAAAAGATTGGGAACTAAGTATAACAGATCGCATACTTTGAAGACCATTATTGTAAGAGTAACGCTCGCTATACATAAAATGATTTCTTACTAGATATTTTTAGCACGAGACACAAAAGTAATGGGATTCACATAAATAAATAGATGTCGGACCAATAACTTTGTGTCTAGTAGTAAGAAATCCATTTATGTATTGCATTTTCCTTGGTGTAAGAGTTTAACCCTTGTATTTTAAAAATTAGAAAAATTAAGAAGAATACCAGTAATAGGCTTGCAGTATATCCACTTCTGGATTTGCAAAAGTTATGTTGTTAAAGCCTGCTGCAAGCCTGTCACCTTCAGGGCCATCACATGAGGAATTCGGGCAGTGCAACAAGTTCATACTGATTACAACATACATTCTAGTACTGATATTCATAGGTAAATCTATGGGGTGCTCTTCAGATGCTAAGCTCCTGGTTTTTCTCCAAAAATATGAGGCGGCACCAATATCATAGAAATACGGCACATCATACGGATAAGAAGGAATAATTGATCTGTCATAATCCCCATTGTACTCAAAAATTGCAGAAGTGATAGTTTTGTCGAAGTCATCGGTTTGCCCATCGAAGTAAGGACTGGCAATGAAGTAATATCTTCCAGGGGCTTGGTTTGCTGTGACAAGGACATCCAGTGTTTGCCCTGGGGTTATGATTAGATAGTTGTTATAGATTGGTTTGATGTAAGCAGCATCCCAACCGACAACAGTGAGGTTGTGGTCAGCAATCCCAATGAAAAAATCTGTGTTCATGACGGCGTTCACTATGCGAAGAAGATAAGTCTTGCCATGATCAAACTTTATTTTGGTTGTTGATTCTGCAATATAATGCAACCATGAGGAACATTGTGCACGTGTACAAGGAAAAGGAAATAAAGTTACTTTCCATATGTTTAATTTTTAGGTAAATTACATTTTTCACTCAAACTTTCATTATAATTTTACTTTGGCCCCTCATTTTTTAATTGCAACAATTAAGTCTCAGACTTTAATTTGTGTTTCAATGTGGTCCTGCCATCACTTACCATTAAAAATTTCAGTGGGAAGTGCTCACATGAGAACCACATGAGAACAATTTAGGAGCATTGGAGAAAAAATTCGTATAACAAATTACACTTTTCACCCGTCAACTTCCACTCAAATTTTACTTTGGTCTCTCATGTTTCAACTTTCACTAACATTTTAAATGGTGGAGTGACAGGGGGATTGCATTCAAATACGGGTTGAAGTTAGAGGACATAATTGTTGCAATTAGAAGAGAAGGGGTCAAAATGAAATTTGGGTGAAAGTTCAAGGGCGAAAAGTGTAATTTACCTTCTTTGTTTTCTCATCAAAAAAGTTGTTTTGGGTTTAATATTATGGCTAATAAACAAAGAGAGAAACAACACAGGCCAAAACAAGTCACATTTAGAAGAATCTAATTATATATTAGACTCGTGATTTTCAAAAATATTATTGTGCCAAAGTATTTGAATAACTTACCATTAGAGCATGGATAAAAATCTCCTGGCTGACCATTAATGCAATATGCATCTGACAATTTTGCCTCTCCACCATGTTCGAGAGTGTTAGAATTTCCCATCTTTACCTTCACCTACTCCACTACACACTCCACTTCACCTACCTCTACTCCACTACACACTCCACTTCACCTAACCCACTATCACCTCCACTACACCTACTACCACATTTTCTTCTATATATAGATTGTATAGGAATTGTAATTAATGAATCTTGTAATCTATCAATATCAATATATCAATCAATAATAATACATACAATTTATTCTCTCTCTTTCTCTATACATTATTTTTTTACAGAGAGCATAGTTCATTAGCGCCATAACATCTTGTTTATACCATGATGCTGCAAAAATAATACCAGAGTGAGAATATGAGTGTATAAACACTTGCATTTGTCTAAATACATGAAAAATAATACGATATTGTACTTTTTCAAACTCGTAGTACATGTTTATTCTCCTGTTATAATTGGTATTATGCACTCTATTCTTTGTATATTTGTTTATATACCGTGTATTTATCTATTTACTTCTCTACGTGCAAGATTGGGTCCAAATAAAAAGCAAGTGTAATATATATTATTGCGCTCATTTCTTGCAGCTTCAATCTTTGGGAACAACTACCACCGGGGGTGGTGGTGAAGTAGAAAGGTGCCTTCCTTCCACACAAGTGAGCAGGGCTCGATTCCTGAGGGGCACGATTAGCGGCCCTTTTTTTCAAACGGTTGAAGCTGACTGCACTGTACTCCGCTCATGACTCTGCCTCCTGTGCTGGGGGTTAGTACATTCCTTTCTTGCCCCAGTAGTGAGTCCCTTCCTTTGAGTTGGGTTAAATCTGGTCGGCAACTGGTTATCTTGGGGCCAGGGCCCAGGGGTGCTATGATGCCCCCACGGAGCGTCCTTTTTCTCAGTTCAAAAAAAAATAAAAAAACTTTGGGAACAATTTATTATCTGACACATTATTTTAGTTCCTTGTTATGTTGGCAATCGTTTACTTTGTTGACATACCAAATGTAGTTCCAACTTTGTAACATATTGTCTGTGACTAAATAAGCTGAAAACATTAACGGGAAAGGGTGGGAGAGGGAAACACTTTGGTAGTAAAAAGAAATATTGAACAGTAAAAGCATTGGTGAAGTTTGACGAGAATACTACCTAGGAAAGCAATTTGTGGCCCAACATGGTAACCCAACTGTGCATAGAGAAGTGTACAGAAAAATTAGTATGTGGCCCAACATGCTAACCCAACTGTATTTTTGGTGAGCAAAGAAAAGTGCACACAAAAATTAATTTGTGGTCTAGATTCATTCTGATATAGTTTGATGAGAATGGTAGCTACCAATGCAATTTCCGGCCCAACATGCTAACCCAACTGTATCTAAACCATAATGTTTCATGCATAGGAAAGTACACAAAACAATTAATGTGTGGCCTAACACTATGACAGAGCAAAAAGATAAATGAATAATGGGATATCCAAATTCATTCTAGGTGTACGGTCCAACATTAATTTTTATGTACAAGGTTCTATGCACTTACCATTACTGGTATGTAACTGGTATGAGTTAAGGTTTTAGACATTTCTAGACAAATGACACAAGTTAGCGACCTCTTGGATTTTCAGCATGCTTCCAAAAATGGGTGATTTTCAAAGCCGGCTGAAGTTGAGCTCATGTGTATAATTCAACTGTTGTTTAACATTTCTATTTTGCAGAAAGTTGAAAGAATTTTTTCCATCAAAAGAATCAAAAAATAAAAAAAGAAGGGTTAGTTACGTATTTGGTCCCCAGAGTATACCTGTGTCATTTTGGCTCTCAATGTTTAAATTATGTCAATTTAATTCTCAATACATAAAAATGGGTAAATTACACTAAGCTCTCCTAAGGTTTGGAAAAAATACAATAAGCCCCACAATTTTGATATAATTACATTAACCTTCCTTTTAGTAAGGTTAAATAAACCGAAACTAACGCAAATGGTGCGAAAACACAAAAATAAACAATGTAAACTATACATTTTCGTGTTAAAGATATGACAATATTAAAATCTCAAGGAACAACAATGTAATTATGTCAAAAATGTGGGAGGTTAGTGTAATTTATCCTATAAAAAAATTGGAATAAATTATCAATAGATTATAATAGTTTGACTGAATTTCAATTAAGTCCTATTGAAGATAATTCCTAATAAAATTGTTGTTAAAAATAATTTTTTGTAACAATTTTTTACACATATCACTAAAAAATTAATAATTAGTGACTTTTTTGGTCATGCTTTTTATAAATTGTCGCTAAAACTTACAATTAGTGATTTTTTCTGTGACGAATTTTTCAAACTATCGTTGAAAGTTGAAAATTAGTAACATTTTTTTTGCGACAATTTTTTTTTAAACTGCCGCTAAAACTTATAATTAGTAACATTTTTTGCTATATATTTTTCAAACTGTCGTTAAAAATAAACAATTAGTGACGTTTTTCAATAATGTTTGATAAAAAATATCATTAATTATCATAAGACATGTTAGACAATGAGTGCACCTATTAGGACGTCCCCTAAAAATTGTTTCAATTTGGTGCCCAAACCAAACTCCATCAATAGACCCTGAATCCAGATGAAGTCAGGGGGTAAATGTGGATTCTTAAGGCCAAAATGACACAATCACATATTTTGGATACAACAATGATTGAGACCCCCCACTGGGAGACCCCCACAACTCATTTTGGATCTCTACCATTGACGGTGTCGGCCACACACATATAGGAGTGGGTCCCATACATACATCAACGATCAACGATGGAGATCCAAAGGGAGTTGTGGGGGTTTTTAAAAAATGGGGTCTCAAGTATTTTTCTTTTGGATAATAAAATGTGATTTTTTTAAGTGAGTTTACACATTAATGATGCATTATGGGATTGGCAGTGCAATTTTTTTAAGTGAGTTTCTATATTTATTTGTGAGTTTAACAAAGGACCAAATTCAAACGTTTTTTATATATTAGAAATAACACAACTAAAAAAAATAAAAATAAAATCCCAATTGTGGAAACTAATTCAATTAAGCTCAATCAAAAATAAACTCTACAGCTGTAGATGAAGTTAATTGATGGTGAGAGTAAAATGCATACCAAGTACAATAGCATGCTCTTCATCGGGATGGGGAAAAGGATAAGACTTTCCAAGAGCAGGCCAGATAACAATGGCGCCATGAACGGTGGATCGAGTCCAGTCGCTGTGAGCATGCCACCAAAGGGTTCCTTCTTCCGATGAAAACAGAATTTGATAGGTGAAGTTACTACCTGCTGAAATTCCGCATTGTGTGATGTATTCAGGCCCATCGAACCATGGATTCCTCGGCTGCTTCACTCCATGCCTATTTCACATTTTACAACACACAAAAACAAAATCAACATGTTCATATGATTTGTAAGGAAAACCCTATTTTTACAAGAACATTAAAGGTCTCTCTCTCTCTCTCTCTCTCGTTTGGAGTAAAGTTTTCATCCATACATACACAATGAAGGGGGATTGTCTTCTGCGGATCAGGCGCTCGACAAAATGCCCGAGAAAGGTTTTGTTTGCGCATCACTTCAGTGTTGTTGGCATATTATGCGGTTTTGCGAAATTTATAATCCAATTTATTGCTTTATTTTTTTTTTTATTTTCTTTTGTAAATAAAAAGTATTTGCAAAAATTTTAGTCATGGCAATGGATCATGTACGAGGAGCAAATATTCCGGCAAGTCCGTACTCCTTTCTTCCAAGCTCCGTTTACGTCCGATCACCTACGAGCAAATAACGGTGAGCTGCCTGGCGGTGTGTGGCCGGAAAAACCCTCCGACGATCAAGTTAGCACACACCTTAGGATAGAGAGAGAGAGAGGAGTGATAGTTTTCTTACAAAGTGTTCATCTGTCGGTATGGGGGGGCGCAGACATGCTTATATTCCCTCTGCGCCTCATATCCACTCCCAGTCATCTCCCGACACGTGGCTCTGCTATCCCATCTGTCAGCATAAACCTTGCTGAACATCACCTAATCCCAACTGCCCGCCCTCTCAGTTGGAGCTCGGCAGCCGAGCTTCTCCATCCGCGGCCGTGCTGTGCTTCATACCCAAGCACTTCACTGGCTAAGCCCAGGGAGGACCGAGCTAGGCGGCATCTCGGCATAGCCGAGCCCGGGACACCTCCTGTTGTCGGCCTTCCTGCCGATCAAACGGTTACCTCGGCCGACCACGCCTTTCCGGGCGCCGGTCACCCAGCTTGTCTGGCTTCCACCATCCCCTGATCAAGCAGCTCGGTCCAACCGAGCACTGCCTTGCCGAGCAGCTTCTTTATGGTCTGGGGCGGCACACACTTGGCCCAATTTCTGCCCAGCCCAAGTTCTGGCAGCCCATCTCCGAGCGGATAGTCGATCATCTCGGCCCCATGCACCATTGGGCTCTCAACCTGCTCGGCCGTTACATCGGCCCAATTCCAGATCATAAATCCCCCTCTTAATTGCCCCTTAATTCCGTCCGCAAGAGCGTGACTGGGATTACCTATACTTCGACCGGGGTACGGCATCCCAGCCGATGTCCACCTGGAGCTCGCGGAAGAAGAGACCACGCCTTGGGGTAGAACAGAACAATGCCCCTTCACCGTGCTGTCGATCGTTGAAGGAGGCCTCCACTTCCCTCTGAACCCACTTATCATCGAGTTCCTACGCCGAACCGGGCTAGCACCCACCCAAGTGTCCACCAACACTTACCGGATAATAAACGGCGTGCACGAGCTAAACAACCAATTAGGCATAAGCCTAGGTTTAGCCGAGATCCTGCGCCAATACACCCTAGGCCACACCGGCGACGGTCTCGCCTATTATCTCAAGATTAGACCGGGCAGAGAGAAAATCGTGACCGGCACACCAGACAAGGATCTTCACGACGATGATTTCTTCTGGGTGTCTGGCAATTACGAGACAGCCGAGGTACCGGGCTGGATGATAAGCAAAAAATTTGGCAGCACATGTAAGCCGCGCAAATTATCTCGGTTAATACACTTTCTTCGTGTTTTTGTACTTTAATCATTTTCTTTCTTGTTTCTTTTGCAGCAATCCAAGCCTTGCAAGCCAACTATCAATTCCCCAACGTAGAGGCAATCAGGACCGCGCTCCGCTATCGCGACCGAGATTGCAACCAATTGCTCGGCTACAGTCCCACATACAGATACTCCGCTCCCCGCCAGAGTAAAGTTACAGACTTCCTATGCGCTCCAACACCTCCACCAGATCCAACTCTGCCAGACGTTCCCCTCATTCGCCTGACAGAGGAACAAGAAATGGCCAAACGAAGCAGAATCAAGAACCTGCTCACCGCCACATCCGCCGAGATGCCGAGCGTCGTCACTCGCTCGCCAGCCGCCGGTCAATCCAGCGGTGCCGTGGTCGCTCTTGCCTCTCAAGCGACCGGGCAGTCTAGCCGAGACCCTGCTCCACGCCGTGCTGGTAAAAGAGCTCGGGCAGACCCTTCTGCTGAGCTTGTCGCCGAGTTGACTACCGAGCATCCATCTGACGCTCCTGTCCCAGTGCCGGCCTGGCGTCCACAGCTAAAGCACCGGGGTCAAGACATCCCGGCTATGGCTTCGATCAAGGGCGATAAAGCGCATTTGCTCGCCTTCGATCTTTCCAAAGCTCTTCTTCTACCGAGCGACGTGGTCGGCAGCGACCACATCCCTGACACTCGGTTGGTAAAATCATCAGTGAAGTCCATGGCCAGGGTAAGTCAATGTACATCTGAAAATTTCACAAGTGTTTGCCCGGTTCCTTTTCTAATCAACTTTGCTTCTTGCAGGCCATCCAAAAGCAGCACTTGGTCATGGAGCGCATCCATAGACTTCGGCAGAAGGTGAGTGATACCGCCAGCCAAGTCGAAAGCCTCCAAGCCGAGCTCGGCCGGGCAAAGTCTTCGCTTGAGATTGCAAATGCAAATAACAACAGACTGCTCGGTCAACTGGATGCGGCCGAGAAAAAACGGGATGAGCTCCAGACCGAGGTAAATGCGCTCAAAAAGTCGAAGAAGAAAGACTGCCGGGCTGTTAACAACGCCGGCTTCAACGAAGCCGAGCA